CCAGCACCTCCTTGTCAGATGGGGGGGGGGGTATTTTTTTATAAAACGAAAAAAAATTGAACTGACAAATAGACAGACAAGTCTATCCTAAACGAATCAGCCTGTGATCCACAATCTAAAAGCTTGGTCCTCCTCTTGTGGTGCACACTTCACTGCATCGGGTTTTTCCACAGGCTGAATGGTTGGAGCACTTTCGCTTTCTACGAGCACTTGACGTCAAATATAAATCTGGGAATAATGTCCAAGGCTCCTCCCCGGGTCAATCGCCGTGTATTCACGTGCTGTTTTTGGTTTACAAAAACAAGTTGCAAGCCAACCGTCAGGAATCAATGCAAGTGCCAATTAGCTGTTAGCGCAACGGAAGCGGTCCGGCTTGATGAAGACGGAATACTATTCAATACGGTGGAGGAATTTAATGAACAATTGATTGGGGGCTGTATTTCTGGATGGCTGTTTTATTGAATATGTACACATCTTCGTTTAAAGTTACCGGGCCCTTGATACGAGATTTTAGGAAAGTGAACTGTGTAGGAATGTTTACAGAAATAGCTGGATGTGAAATAGGTTTAAATTTTATGTGGTTGGCTCGTGAAAAGATAGATTGATGGCGTGTTTAGTAGGGTAGATGATGACTTGTGGTGCATATGAGGCTAGTCTTGTTGAACATGTTTAGAAATATTTTTCAAATGAAATTTGCAGACAAATAAGACGTATGGTACTTATGACATAAACACAAATATGATATACATATGCAGACATTTTTACATATTGATATATAACAGGTAAGTAAGCTAAATTAGGCCACTTATAGGCATATGACAGACACATGCCTTAGATACTCTCAACCAGCACAACCAGAGAAACACAACATAAATAAAAGGCTGAGAGAAACACGATCGACATATAACACAGATACCTTCGACAAATCATGTGACTGCTGTAGGTCTCCGCAAGACTTTCACACTCCGTTCTGAACAATTCATCACCAATAGTTCATGAGTTTTTTTTTATCAATAGTTCATAAACGATTCATCACCAACATTGTATACATAATTTGTACCCAGCAGTTCATGAACATTTCGTTACCAACAGTTCATAAACAATTTTTCTCTAACAGTTCGTGAACAATTTGTCACTAAATATTTCATGAACAAGTTTTCACCAAATATTTCATGAACAATTTTTCAGCAACAGTTCATGAACAATTTGTCACCTACAGTTCATGAACAATTTGTCACCAACAGTTCATGCCACTAAAGCTCAGAGTTATCTAATTTTCCCATTGAAATCCTCTCATTTCCGCTTTATTTCTTTCCTTCTGGCCAATCAGTCGGCAGCGCGCGCACGCACTGCGAAGGTCATTTCCTGTTGCTTTTTGTTAGGCGGGGAAGCAACTCGATCAGAGGAGTTTGACCCTCGGTACCTGGGCATTGTGGGCGCGTCATGAGTCAGTGCGTCAGGCATAGAACTAGTTATTTATTCCATTCTTTGACAACTCATTTGAGAAAGTTTCTTAGGGCTATTCGCACAATTAATGTTAAATCGGTAACTAAAATCACCTTGATTTCTACCTCGTGAGGCGTATTAAGCGAATTTTAATCATATTTTATATGCCATTTTTTAAAGCTCTTAGTTTTTATTCAATTTTAATGCTTGATTTTTTAATAAAGAAAAAAAACGTGTTTAATTTTTTTCAGTATTTAGCACAGACGCACATTCTTTTATAAAAATATTTTTAGCCATAAGGCACATAAAGATATAGTACAGTAAATGTCGAAATATACAGTATATACGTACATATTCATACCCGTATTTATAAATACATCTGGACAAATATTGATACCAATTAGTACACTGTTAAATCCAAGAATAACAATACAAGAAATACATCTAAACACACGCACAACAACATTGAGAGACAAACTTTTATACGACCCTCAAGCGAGAAGATATAAAACAAACCAAACCGCCGTTTTTCGGGGTCGGAGCTTCCATTATCTGGCGAGAGATTTTTATTTCATACAGCCTCGTTTTCATGTGCCAGCACCAGAATTGTTAGGATGTGCCAGCACCAGAATTGTTAGGATGTGCGAGCACCAGGATTGTTGGGATGTGCCCATTTCTGGAACTGCCCCACACGTGACGGGGAAAGTGTCAAAACTGCCGTCCATTTGGGTGCATTTCACCAGGGTCTATTTCCTCCCCGGGCTCTCCATGTCCCTCCCCCTCCCTCCATTTTCAACGACCTGACGATCATTGAAATATCAAAAATTGCTCATTACCATAATGGTGGTAGGGGTGGGGGGGGGGGGTCCTAGTCACATTTCAAGAATCTTCCGTGGGTTTTTTTTTTTTTTAATATTTACAGTAAAAGAGTACAGCCAAAAAGGGGAGGGAATAAGGTAGGGGCGGATAATGTCAGCTGAAAGAGAATTTATGGGACTTTAAGAACGGTGGATCTTCAGCCACTTTAACCATTTTGTTATCAAAACACTTTTGCCCGTCTGTTCAAAAGCAAAGAACGTTAACAACAAAGACATTTTAAAAAATTCCCAATTGAATTTGTTACAGGCGCGTTTCCTGTGGCTTTTTTTTCTTAACTTAATCTTATTTCAAAAATTTAATTTTCATATTTTTGTTTTCTGTTTTTAATTTTTTTTTTTTTTAAATTGAATGTTACCCTAAAATTTTGTTTTGTTTTGTATTTGATAGATACATTGAAAATAGATATGAAAAAATAAGTTCAACATAATTGTCGTTTCAAAGTAAAAAAACAAGTTAATTAAAAAGTCTAGTGACATTTAAGCGCAATTTCCTTATGTTATCTAAAAATAGCTCTGTCGTAGCGTAAATCAAGAGCAGGGTTAGTAAAACCATTGGTTAGTTATTAAAACGTTTTTTATTAATTTTTTTTTCAGTATTTTACATGTTTTATTTACAATAGAGTTACATGACTAAAAACCATTGCGCGCCTAGCTACCGAACGTGATGGCGCAGCCATTGAACGTAATGGCACAGTTATTGAACGTGATGACGCGTGTGGTGTGGTTGGATAAAAATGCCTACTAATTCGGTCCAAATTTTAATTAATTCAAAAAAATTTTTGTGACCGAACGAAAGGATATTTTTGAAAACTTTCTTCGGCAATATTGTTCTAAATTATGGCAGGAATTGATTGGTAAATGTTTCAAGTCGCTAAGTGGTCTGGTTGCCGAGATATGGGCCAAAAACGGCATTTTTTTCGAGGTTTTTTGGCTTTTCCAGGAAATCCATGAAAGAAACCCGGAATTTTTATGGCCTATGTTCATCCTCGTAACTTGCTTAACATAATTGCTTTTGGAACTAGTTATCGATATTGCTTCGTTGAGGAGGAGATACGACTTAAAGCTGCGGACACACATCCATCCATCCATTCATTCATACATTCATACATCCAGAAATGACGGGTTAATAAACGCAATTCTCCAGAATGGAAATTGCGCTAAAAAAGCCTTTCGATGAAAAACAAAGTAGATCTATCACTTGTGTGGATTTTACTTTTATTTTGTAGGGCAAAAAGAATATCTGTGTTGTAAATAGATTCGAAAATTATGATTCATATAGCGTGTGGTCTGAACAAAAAGCTATTGCTTTTTTTATCGGCGTGCATTGAACCTTATAACATAATAAATTGACTTGGTTTATGAAGCAAGCACTGGATGATTGGAGTCGCATATTTCATCCTCTTGCCCGTCCGCGCCAAAGTTACAGTGTATTATTGTTATTAAACCAAGTCGATTTTTTTTCTCTTGCAACAATAGAATAAGGTTATTGTTCAGATCCTGTCCCCCCTGTTTCCAGTCCACAATGGACCGGTCCGCTGCTCATCTCACAGGCGAATGGAGGCTATAAATAAGGGTAAAATGGGCGAGTAATTCAGTGTTCTGGTCGCCGAGATAGGGGCCGCGCCCGGCCGTAAATCGGGGGCCTTATACCCGCGCCCAGACACCCGGGGAAACAATAATATTTTAGGGTTTGTCAAATGATCCATTACCGGTCAGCCGGAGAGGCCGGCTCATCAGAATCTCGACCGGCAGACCGGACTCGCTCGGGGCATTTCTAATGGGCAGGACAGTGCCTTGGTCCTACATTTCTAATGGGTAGGACAGGGCCTTGGTCCTACATGTCCTAAAGGGCAGGACAGGGCCTTGGTCTTACAAGTTCTAATGGGTAGGACAGTGCCTTGGTCCTACAAGTCCTAATGGGTAGGACAGTACCTTGGTCCTACATGTCCTAATGGGCAGGACTGCATTGGTCCTACATGTCCTAATGGGTAGGACAGTGCCTTGGTCCTTCGATTCCTAATGGGTAGGACAGTGCCTTGGTCCTACATGTCCTATGAGCAGGACAGCGCCTTGGTCCTAAAAGTCCTAATGGGCTGGATAGTGCCTTGCCCCTCAAACTCCTGATAGCTAGGACAGCAACTGCTGACACTCCTGATAGCTAGGACAGCAACTGCTGAAACTCCTGATAGCTAGGACAGCAACTGCTGAAACTCCCGAGTGTTGGGACTATTGAGAAGTACAGCGCTTTGTATGTTAGGTTGTGACAGAGGACAGTTTGTGTTGAGGTGGGGGGGGGGGCAATGATAGATCTTTGGGTTGGAGGCTTCAACAGATGACTTCCGCCTTATTGATAACAATAATTACCTCGATGCACTGTTATACTATTGTGTAATTGTATCTGAAAGTTACCGCATATTTACATTGACAAACATATATTGACACCCATTCTTTCATTATCTCAACATAGAAAAACACCGGACAAACACCACTCAAATATTCTAAAATATTCTGTTGTATTCCATTCCATCACCATCTTATTTTTTCTCTAACACCATTTCAGATCAGATCAGCATAGAGTTGATCAAAGAGAAAGAGAAAACACAAACACCGGACAAACACCACTAAAATATTCTAGAATATTCTGTTCAGCAACGTCTTATTTTTCCTCCATTTCAGATCAGATCAGCATAGAGTTGATCAAAGAGAAAGAGAAAACACAGAGACTGGAGAGAGAGATGCAGGATGAGAGGAAAAAACGAGGTAGGTGTAGGAAATTAATTAATTAATTAACCTAGCGAGTTAATGCTGAATCAAGCCTCTCTTTAGTGCTTTGGTCTTCAGTATTTAACCCAGTCGTACTAAGGAAAACTAGATTAATGTGATACGACTCTATTGCACGTACATTCACCCTAGTCTTAACCATAGCAATAACCTTAGACTACTCTTAAAGCCTTATCGTAGATTTAGTTACCGATATATTATTGACTTGCTACAACTAGTCTGTTAATTGAAATATGGAAGGCTATACCATATAGTCAGAGGTGACAAAAGGTCGAAAGTCACCCCCCCCCCCCCCCTCGCAACCCAACAGTTTCATATTTTCAGTTCGGTGTCCACCTCTCCCTCTCTCCCACCTTTTTTTTTTTTTTTTTTTTTTAGCTGAGTAAAACATTATTTTGACAGTAAATTTTACAATTTTTCGATTTGGTGTCACCCCTAAATGGTGTCAACCAGTGCAGACACCACCCAACACCCCGCCTGTGATGCTGCTGTATATACTTTATATAGCCGCGGGTGTTTAGCTCAGGAAACCCAGGACTATATTACAAACAGTTCCATCAACCTCATCCCGGTCTATCCCTTTACTTTTTCACGCACCTCTTGTGTATCCTTATCTTTGTTTCTTTTATCATCTGGCCCTTCTGCCTGAAGAATATGACGTGCAACTCTCCCCAATCTGGCGCAGTAAAACACGTATTTACTTCCTGACACGCGCAGTAAAACACTTATTTACATTCTGACATGCGCACTAATCGAACACGTGCGGAAACGAAAAATAAATTAACAGTTAATAATTGTATTTTAAAAATCTATTTCATCTCGTTTGTATTCCCGCGGCGCGAGATTTAAAAAATTAAAAGCTTTGATTAAACACTGCTAATTACTGTTTTTCAGCGAGAGCTGGAAGGAAAATATTTCTCTGTGGGACGCTATCTTGTGTTAGATGGTGTTCCCTGGTTTAAAAGTTTTGTGAATTAGAACTTTCTTAGAAGTTTCTCTTTTAAATCACCCTGAAATAAAATTGTTGAAACATATGTAGAACCAGGCCTTCAAATAAAAAAATTACTGTTTGTGGAGTATGGGGAATGGGCGGGGAATGGGCGGGGAATGGATGGGGAATGGAATGTCAGACTGCTCATGAAATAACGCACACGCGGGGCTAAAAAAATGGGAACCACATTAATGGGTTTTTTAATGGGGGTAAAAAATTAAAACAGCCGGGCTAAAATTTGAAGTCATATTTTAAGATAAACAAAAACGTCACGACGGCTTCTCGCGCCATCTGGTGCTGCGTGTACGTCATCAAAATGGCGGCCAACAACAGACCAATCAAACGCCGGATAAAACTTGGGTTCTGCTCACGTTGCCCAGTGTTAGTTGTGTCGTGTTCTCTCGACAACGTAACGTACTCGACAACTTATCCTATTAATTAAGGCCTACTACGGGAGGTCCAAAACACTTTCATAAAAAAAAACACGAATCTGCTGGTATGATCTGTTGCCTTATCGCCATCAAAACACGGGGGAGGGGATGGAGCAGGGGGTTTAATGAACACATGGCCAGGGAAATATTGCAACTCATCCGCACTGCATGCATTTGCTGTGGTCGGGCCTGCATTTCGGGGTTGTGGGGGCAGGTGCTTTCGTTGAGAACTTTCAGCAGCAACTTCCGAAATGCGTCAACAAGATGCGCCAAAGTGGTCTGGGATGACCGGCCTCGTTTTCAGCTGTGGAAAGATCCGCAGACAAGATAATGGTCATGACGTCAGCAATACAGATAGGATAATGGTCATGACGTCGGCAATACAGATAGGATAATGGTCATGACGTCGGCAATACAGATAGGATAATGGTCATGACGTCGGCAATACAGATAGGATAATGGTCATGCCGTCGGTAATACAGATAGGATAATGGACATGACGTCGGCAATACAGATAGGATAATGGTCATGACGTCGGCAATACAGATAGGATAATGGTCATGACGTCGGCAATACAGATAGGATAATGGTCATGACGTCGGCAATACAGATAGGATAATGGTCATGACGTCGGCAATACAGATAGGATAATGGTCATGACGTCGGCAATACAGATAGGATAATGGTCATGACGTCGGCAATACAGATAGGATAATGGTCATGACGTCGGCAATACAGATAGGATAATGGTCATGGCGTCGGCAATACAGATAGGATAATCGTCATGACGTCGGCAATACAGATAGGATAATGGTCATGACGTCAGCAATACAGATAGGATAATGGTCATGACGTCGGCAATACAGATAGGATAATGGTCAAGACGTCGGCTATACAGATAGGATAATGGTCATGACGTCGGAAATACAGATAGGATAATGGTCATGACGTCGGAAATACAGATAGGATAATGGTCATGCCGTCGGCAATACAGACAGGATAATGGTCATGACGTCGGCAATACAGATAGGATAATGGTCATGACGTCGGCAATACAGATAGGATAATGGTCATGACGTCGGCAATACAGATAGGATAATGGTCATGACGTCAGCAATACAGATAGGATAATGGTCATGACGTCGGCAATACAGATAGGATAATGGTCATGACGTCAGCAATACAGATAGGATAATGGTCATGACGTCGGCAATACAGATAGGATAATGGTCACCATTTTTAACACGTCGTCAATATGGTCCTACCAGCGGCCACGACTAATGAAATATCTGCTACTCAAGATATCAACACAGATTATTGGAAATAAGAAAAATACATCACAGCGGCAACGACGATTGTTTGAATAAATGTTCGTTACTTGATCGGATGGGAACAATGGAATTTCGCCATTCAGTAGAAAACATGCAATAACTGTCTAGGTCAGCACTTTACCCATTTGGTATTTACATGGACTTACGAACTTGATATGGAAAGTTTATCAACTTATAAACTTTATATAGAAAGTTGATCAACTTATATACATGATTCGGGACTGTTATAAACTTAAAAACTTGACATAAAATTTTGTAAACATACAAACTTAATTTGGGTTCTGTATCAACTTACACAAATGATTGCCGAAATTTATCAATTAACAAACACGATATAGAATATTTATCAACTTACCAACACGATATAGAATATTTATCAACTTACCAACACGATATAGAATATTTATCAACGTGCATTCATTACACGGGAGTCTCACAATTTACATCATTATCAACTCGGTGCTTTATTTTTTAAACGTCTTGAGTGTTTGGTTAGATCACGTAATACTTGTTTACAGGTAACAGTTTTTAACTTGTTAGCCAATTTGATCAAAGCCAAGTAGCGCTCGTTAAAAACTGGAGTAGCGAGTAGTGGAGGGGGGTGGGGTAGAGGTGGGGTGGTGGGGGGTTAAAATTTTACTGATTTCGTTGGGTAAGGTAGGAAATTACTCAATTTGGTGGGTTTAAAAGTGTGAGGGGAGGGTAAAATATGTCTGAATTTGTGAGGGTGGGGGTGGGAAGTGGATCACTGGAAGGGTGTGGATGAGAGAAGGGTTAGGCTGGGAGGTGGGGGCGGGGCTAATGAAACAGAAATAAGGTTTTATGAACGAGTGAATTGAACTCTTAATTGATGAACTGCCGGCGAACAATGTTGTTGTAACGGCGCGCGCCGGTCATGACGTCATGGACAGGACACCTAACGCACGTCCGTCAATACCAGCATACTGGAACTGGGGGTGAGGGGGATGGGGGTGGGGGTGGCTGTTGTTGTTCCACAATGCCAGCCCTAGCATGTGGCTGGGGAGAAATTAGAAAGCGGGGGAAAATTGCTCCACGCCGGCTATTAATAGAGTGAAGATTAGTTCATTTTTAAGGTCTGGGGGATCAGGAGGGGGGAAGGAGGGGGTTAAAGCTTCACATTCTCTGAACGAACACGCAGACCCCGATTTCAGTGCGAGTTTACATCACACCGACCCCTCCTCCCCTACACATACACATATGTTGCTTGACGCTACCTAGCCATCCCCTACATACACATATTTTCTCAGCTAGCCATCCCCTACATACACATACTGTCTCAGTGGTCAACCCAGTTTTGACGTGAATGTCAGCAGACGACGAGTTTCGTCACTTCCGTGACAGGCTGAATGTTTACAAACCTGGTGCCTGGCTGTCGTCTGCTAACTGCCACCATGTCTACCAACGGTGCTACACTAACACCATGTTAACACTTGGTCCATTAGTAAGACAATGTTAACATTTCGGTGCTACACTAACATAATGTTAACACTAGGTCTACCAATGGTGTTATAGTAACACAATGTTAACACAAACAATGGTGCTACAGTAAAAAAAATGTTAACCTACCGGTTTAACAATTCTGTCACTACTTGAAATACACACCTTGGTACACCAAATTAATGGTGGTTTTAAAATGTCAATATTATTTTAAGCCAAAACGCAAGAAAGTTTGTCCTCGGCTCAAACAGTGGATGATCTGCGGTTTTTCAGCGAGAAATAGTTTTTGCAGTATTTAGAATCATCTTTTAAATACAGAATAAACATATCACTTTCACAACACACTCGTCCATTGTACCGCTGTTTATCTTTGCAGAGTTTTTCCAAAGGAGGGTCCGTCGGCTGAGGAGGGCTCTAAAGCAGGAGGGGTTCTCGGAGTCGGGGAGTAAACATATGGAGAAGCCAGAGAGGTCAAGGTCAGAGTCTAGCCCCGAGCCTGTTCTTAGAAATAGTCAAGGTAAGAAAAAAGAACATTCTAAATTTAGCATTAGAATATATTATTTTTAGAACATTCTAGATTTAGCATTAGAATTTAATAATTTTAGAGCTTTCTAGATTTAGAAGAACGTATAAATGTTATTCTAACATCCACATTCGATAGAACACTCTTTAATTATTGTGGTAGGGTGTGGTCCGTTAATAGAGCTCTCGTCTGCTACCCGAAAGTCTCGAGTTCAAATCCCGAGTTTGAGCCTGCTAGACTTCCTTCAGTCTACCCAGCTCTGATGGCCACCTGACAAATATAATAGTGCTGACCACACCCCCCCCCTCCACCGTATACCGAGTTCATTTAAGCATAAACTCTACTTCATCTGTCGCGTCTGTCTTGGGGACGAAAGGAAAACGTTCATGATATTTATTAGATCATTCTAGATTTAGAGGAATATTCAAAACGCTATACAGTAACAGATGATATTACGTAATGTATTCTACAGAATAATCTTGTTTTAAAAAGATAGTTCACATCTTCTCCAAACATTTTAGACCACACCAACTTACAATCTTTCACAGTAAACATTCCGGTTTTTGTAAATCACACCCATGACATTCAAAGCGAAACAAAAAATCAAATATATCTTTATTTAAATTCTAGATTTTAAAAACGGTTTTAAGTTATTTTTAAATATATTTATTTACGGTAATGGCCCATGGGTTTAAAATTGTCACGGCGATAGGGAGTTCTCTCCGCTGGAGATACGGAATTCTCGCCCTTGGAGATAAGCCGCGCCACATTTTGTAGTTATGACTCGGGTCTTCTGACGCGAGTCGCGCGTTAAACCTCTGGTATCACACACCGTGAGTACATAAAACACGTGAAATAAGCACTCACTCTAGCCAGGCGTATGTTTTCTGTTCCCCACAGAGCCGCCCCAGCAGGACAGTGACAGCGAGAAGACCCTCAACACTGCTCACTCGTCGGACCTGGAGCGAAAAACAGGTGCGGGGGTTTGTGCAGTTTTATTTTTTTTACTGCTGAAATTGCCTACTCCATTTTGGTGTTATCAGATAAGGATTCGGAATTTATTTCTTTTAACTATATTTTCAATCCACATTTCTTTGTTATTATGTTCTTCGAAAAGAAACAACGTAAAATCGTGTAATGAAATCAAATTTAAAAACCTAGTTGCGTAATGTTAACTATAAATGGAGTAGAAAGAACAGCTTACAAGATATGTATATATATATATATATATATATATATATATATATATATATATATATATATATATATTTATTTATTTATTTATTTATTTATTTATATATATACATAGTTTATAAAGAGAGAGAAATTGAAATATCTTCGCTTACAGTCAGTATTTTTACCTATTAGTTATGCCTGTTGTTTTAATGCATAAGAGACAAAAAGTATCATCTATTTGATTGGTTGAGATTAAAAATCTGCGAGACATTCTTCCTGGCGGTTTTATGAATTTAATTAAAATTTTCCAACTAAAATCTTCTGTTTTTAATTAATTACTTCACGTTTTAATCTATTGTTTTTTAATTTACCAGCAGATCTTCCGCCAGTGGACAGGCCGACGTCTAGAAGAGAAATGTTCGAATCCTACGTCAACGCCCACCACGCACCCCCCACCTCTAGTCCCCTTAAGTTCTCCTACCATTCACTCGTACCCCCCAATGATGTCTAAGTCACACCCCTACACACCTTCACACCAACACCTCATTGAAACAAACTCAAGATTTGCGCACCAGGATTTGGTGCGGTATGTCAGCTCAGGAAGATCAATCTCCCATTAGACAGCTCGCCATTTACTGACCACAACAAACTATTTATTTACTGAGAAGCGGGTCAAAACGTCGCACGAAAGGAGAGTTGTTGTGCGCATGCGTATAGAAAAAAAGTGAGACTGATTAACAAGTAAATTAACATAATTAATGTATTAGATTAGTAGTTATTCCATGTGAGTAGAGTCTGGTCTATTTAAAGCAACCAACTTATGTTTTTATTATTAAAACTCAACATGTAAATATTGTTTGGTTTGTGTGTATGGGATTGTTAAAGGAGGTTTGAAAGAAATATGGAATGTAAGAGAGATAGAGAGACAGTTGAAAATCAAACAAATGTATGGTAACCTTATATTGATGACTTGATATTGATGACTTGATATTGATGACCTATGATGTATTATTCAATGTGCTGGATCGATAATTTTAATGCATTGATTTTAACGTCGCGAATATTTTGTGTTACAGTGTGTATATACTAACTTGTATACTATTTTTAGAATGTGCATCTTTCAAACAACCTTGACCTTTGATTAGGGTCAATTTTTCTTTGGTATTTGTTTTTTATATATTCATTTTTTTATGCTGGTTTGGTTAAGATTTTGTATTAGACAAATTCATTGGTAGAATAGAAGCGATCAGCAAAGCAAATATTTTGTTTTCTACACAATATTGCTCTAAATTTCTGGAACGTCTGCTGCTGTAACGGGACCTCCCTGGGTCTGATGGGACTCTGTGGGTGTCTGTTATAGCATCTGTACGGAAATACAGGCCCATGTAACATAGCAGCGAAGATGACCAATGATTACACGAGTGAATGTGAAAGAGAGATATTGAATATTTTATATGAATTTTCTTCAGATCGAGTAAATCTTTATACACGTACGCAATATGTTGTAGGCTATGGGAGGTGGGGTGGGGTCTCAAGCTAGACTAACACATGTTTAAAAATTGATTAGCAATTAATGTCATTTTCTCCCCTGGTGAGAGATTGCTGCTGTATATTTGTCTGTATTTTACCTGTGGACACCATTTGAAATTAATTGTGTTCTATACTTAAATATATGTATGGGGGTGTGGGGGAGGGGGGGGGGTTGAGAATTGATAGTGTGTGAGTGAGAGATACTTTGTACATTTTTAATGTAACTTTTAGAGTAATTATGGATGAACAAGTAATAATTAATTAATTTCGATATTTGATCGTAACTGTCCTTTATTGATTTTTTTTCTTTCAACCAATCGAGAAATAAGATTTATAACCAACAATTCAATATTTTGATGTCACTAGTTTAGTTCCGATAGACTAGCGAGGCTCAATGAATGAATACATCACAGAATGTAAATCTATGTATCAGTCTAGTAATCTAAGCCTTGACGATGAACATCCTCAGATGGGCATAGGCTTAAGTTAGTCATTCACATCTGGTTGGTGCAATAGTTAGAAAAACGTGGTAGGGAACTTTATGGGGAAATCGTAGACAATTTTCTACAAGATTCAGACAGGTTTTACTGGGTTTTAGTGGCTATGTAAGCTGAGAACAATTCGTTAATTACCGTAATTAATTGCAGAGAGGGGTGTCTGGGCACGTCCAGGGGTAGGGAACCTTTGTTGATCACTGACGTATGATCGTAAAACGGAGGAGGAAAGGAAAACAGGCTCTGATTATCTTAATGGCTCATGTACAGGGTCGAGCTGAAGGGGGCGGGGCTGGGGGGTAGGGTCGCTGGGTCGCAGAATTTTTGGGTGCCATTAAGCTCGTCGTCTGCCAGGTGTAAACTACGTGTACAAGACACAGCTACATGTAGGTGATCGTCAGCTGTGTGTGTAATTAGACAACACCCTCCCCCACACCCCTCCTCCAACACATCCCTCCCCACGCACCCCTCCCCACCACGCACCCCTCCCATGTTTAACCTACACCCCAGTGTAACATCCCTAACAGACCCCCTTACACATACCCCTATCATCTAAACGAATATTATTGTTGTAGACGTCACTCATTAAAGCAGCGGTTCTCCAGTTTTTTTACCAGATGTACCCCAATCGTATACAAAAATATAAGTTCTCTAGAGACGGTCTATTTCAAGTGTACTTTAGAGAATACTGGATTTATAGGAAAACATTGACAAGTAAACCTTGCATGTTTTTTTTAACAAGCGCACAATAAGTCTTACTTTTCATCTCTTCAGCTTATCATAGCCCCCTCCCCCTTTACCCACCCCCCATATATTGCACCACTCGTCACGTTTTTTGAGAACCGTGGAACCAGACCAGCATGCCCACTTTCTGGCATCGTAATCGTAACCGTTACACCACACCACTCTGCACACTTGGCGATGAAACATCGGAATCGTAGCTCCGATTATTCTCCATCTAGATTATGAGAACTAAAAATGCCCCCCCCCCCCATTAAAGCTTATCTCCGCAGTGAGCATGGCCCACGTGTCACACACGTGCTGGGGTAGGACGGCAAACACTCCCGCCATTATTTGCTGCGGAGATCAAGTTTTTTGTTTTTAACTCCGGCTACAAAAACCATAAGTTGAAGTCCAGGGGAGATAATAATTCAAACAAAATGTTGCGAATGTAGCCCCGACATTAAATCTTGTACTAGAAGCAACTGGTGGGACAAAGGTTGGCTTCACACTCAAATCTACTCAAGTGCTTGCAGATTATTCTATCTCCGGATTTACATACTCAGATTCAATTGTGTAGCTCAGTAAGAAAGTTGAGAACGAGGCTTGATAACTTGAAACAAGGATTACGGAGAGATAAATATGATGTAATGAAAAAGTAAATAATACACCCACACCCAGGATTCATAAAACTAAGCTGCGCCTCTAGCTAATCTACGATTTTAAAAAAAAGAATCTTTCAGTTGTAATATTTCGTGTTTACATACTTTCTGAGAATGCTGTTTAAAATATCGTTTCGTGTTCTTTTCTTCAGTGCATTGCTTACGTCACATAACATGTATATATGTAAATATATGTATACTGAGTCTATTGTATGACAGGTTGACATTGATATTACGTGTATGTTCAGGTATTATGTCGGGTGTGAAAGTAGAAACATATTTGCCTTGTGTTTCGTGATGTATTTACTTTTTTTCCCCAACAGAATTACATTTTTTGCTTTATTTTTGAAGCAACATTACGACATATTAAATTGACTGTAATTATGTAAAATGTATTGTGTAATATTTCTTCATTTTTTGTGAACTCGGCTGAAATACAAGCTGGGCTCAAATTTAATTACTAAATGTACGTTTTAATTAAACTTAATGAACATTTCAGCATCAAAATGTTATTGTATTAAAACGTTTCCATTTTGGTTGATCAGACATTATTTTTTAGTTTGGTTTGTAAATTTCGTTTTTCGTTAAAAAGTAACATTTTACAAAAGTAAGAACTGGATTTGAAAACTTTTTGTAAAAATAAAACCATCACAAAGTCTGTTACATTTTTGTCGGGTATCTATGATGGCTGGTCTAAGTTTTCACCTGAGTTCAAAGTATTAAAGTTTGTGTATACAGAAAGTTCAAAGTATTAAAGTTTGTGTATACAGAAAGTTCAAAGTATTAAAGTTTGTGTATACAGAAAGTTCAAAGTATTAAAGTTTGTGTACACAGAAAGAAAAATAAAATAAAAATAATGTCCTGATATTTGTTTGGCTTGTTTGGTTTATTCATGGGATAACATTTTTATTTTGTCGATGGTTGCATGCAAGATGATGTGGACTAGCTTTATGGTGTGAGGATTATTGGACTTGAATTTTAAACTACTGGGCCATCAGATGTTAACTTACTGGGCCATCAGATGTTAACTTAGTGGGCCATTACAAGTAAATTTACAAGGCCAGGAAATGTTACCTTTCTGGGCCATCAAATATTAACTTACTGGACTATCAAATGTTAAAATACCATCAAATTATAACTTACTGGGCCATGAAGCACTAACTTACTGGGCCGTCAAATGCGAACTCACTTGGCCATCTGGTGCCAAGTCAATATTCCATGCCACTAGACGTAAATTACTGGGCCATCAGATGTTAATTTACTTGGTTAACAGGTATTAAGTTCCTATTGCAGGCCATCCGTGGTTAACTTACCGGGCCATCATGTATATCATTGAATTGGACTAGACCATCAGATTAGAAACCGTAAGATATGAACGTATTCATTGTCCTACCATCCTATGTTGAAAAAAACCCTCGGATATAAAACTATGCTTATAGACCTACACTCCTAATGATGAGACAGCTCAAGCCCCTATCAGTACCAGAAAAACAAACGCTACATCTAAATCACTAACGGTCAGACATTTTTAACACTCCATTAAATTTTTTCTCACTTATCTCCTATGCCACCCCCCCCCCCTGCACCAAAACTTAATGATCACCCAAGTCCCGCTACTCCGCTAGGTAAAAGCCGAGACAACTCACCTGTCCCCACCAATTCCTCTAATTTAGCTAGATAAGACAGGTTGTACATTCCAACATCGAAATCTGTGTCAAGAATATCTGCGCATGCGTAAAGATGAGCCGGATGCTGATACCCCCATCATTACGACTGACAAAGGCGGTAGGGACTGACAAGGACACACATCATTAGAGGAGCAATCATGATTGAAGGTAACACACGTGACCATATGATTGAAGGTAACACACCTGATCAAATGATAAGGGGCCTGGACAGTGGGAGGAATAAGGGGGCTGTACTGTACAGGCGTCGCATCCATAAGGGGATCTAACTCTTCAGTTGTTATTTTATTTTTGGGGTGAGGCAAGATATATATCAATAAATGTTTGCGCGGGGTGGGGGTGTTAGCCTTCATGATTATGTGAGTATCCGCCCACAGCAATCCAGATATACATTTACAAATATGTTATGTTTTGATTTTAAATTCATTTTAGTTTGATATGTATACACCATAAATTGTTTAGAATTAAGTTTAAATATGGGAATGATCATTTCTTTTTCAATTGTTAATCCGAAAATGTTATAATTTTAAGTACTCAACTTTTTTGTAGCCTATGCCAGGGGTCGGCAACCTGCAGCTCGCGAGCCGCATGCGGCTCTTTTGATATCAAGATGCGGCTCTCCAGCTCCTTGAACAAATACTAATAATCTTAATAAAAAAGTAAAATATTTGAAATATAAAAATGTTAGTGGCTCTTTAAAACCAGGGAAATTTTGAAAATTGTAACTTTTGGCTCTTCCGCTTCAAAAGGTTGCCGACCCCTGGCCTATGCTACAATGTGAACTTTTGACTCCGCAGCACACTAAACTAAGCAGTGAAGAGAAACCTAGATTGCACACCTATGTTAATCTAGTTCTTATGCCATTTTATTTATTCCCTATGATTATTATATATGCAATTGATGTTCATTGTTCATGTCTTTGATGCTGTTTAAAATCTATCAAATATATTATTATTACTGATTTAAATGTTTAAAACAATTGAATTAATAAAAAAATATAAAAAATCTATCCCCTCCTCTCTCCCCCTCTGTCCACTTTACCCTCAGACATGATAACCCCACAATCCCTTTAACTGTTCCAAC